CCGCTCGCTCAGCGCCGCCTGCTCCTGCTGCCTCTGCCCCGCTGGAAATTCAGCGAAGCCGCAGAAGAAGGGCCGTTCCGGCTAACATGATGGCAGCCAAGCAAGCCGAGCTCATGGGCATCTGCTCCAGCTACCAAGCGGTCATGCCTCATTTCGTGTGCATCGCCGAGGAATTCCCGCAGCCCATCCGCCCCGCCAAGATGCCCAAGGGCAAGCTGAGGAGACCGAGGCAGTCCCGCTTCAAGACCCAGCCGGTGACTTTCGATGAGATCCAGGAGGTGGAGGAGGAAGGGGTTTCCCCCATGGAGGAGGAGAAAGCCAAGAAATCCTTCCTGCAGTCCCTGGAGTGCCTGAGGAGGAGCACCCAGAACCTGAGCCTGCAGAGAGAGAAACTCAGCAGCTGCAAGCTACGGAACAGTTTGGACTCTAGTGACTCTGACTCTGCCCTGTGAAGGGATCACTGGGGCTCAGTGATAACCCATCGCAGCAGCTTTGCAAAGCCAATGGACAGCGAGAAAGGACTGTGCTTCACAGCCAAGCTTGCAGCCGCCAGATAGAGGCCAAGAACTTTATAGAGTCTATATTTTTCAAGGGAGACTATTTGTGGAGATTCTTGCTACCCAGAATTGCTTGCCGAGTAATGGCTTTTGGACACTCTCTTTTGTATTATAGATCAGATCCAGTCAGTCAGTCAGTATGGCAAAGGGGGAGTTTGGGACCAGGATGAAGAATTTATTTGAGAGGGGGGTGAAGTTCCTTTCTCATTATCCTCATGATAAAGAACCAGTCTGAGTGGGATAGTTTCCAAGAGCAATTTGCAAGTAAGGTCAGGATGTTTTCTAGGAAAGCGTTTTTATGTTTTGTTTCTATTAGATTGTATGAAACTTCTGATTTAAAAAAACCCTTTTCTATTTGTTAGAAGAAGTCAGAGCTGTTTTGGATGCAGTGAGCTGCTGGACTTTATATTTATTTTTGCATTTAAACCGTTGACTGCATTTAATTTAATGTTTTTACCTAAATGTCTGTTGTTATTTCCATAAAAGAGAAATAAAAGTCAATATATTTGCATAGTGCATTTTCATGAATCTTTATTGGGGGATAACTGTTCCGATTTCTGCTTTCTTAGCCGTTAGTGGCTATATGGGCTTAAAATGTTGAGTGCTAACCCAGAAACAGTAATAATCTTTTCGGGAACAGAAAGGACATTCTCGAAGGGTATTTCAAGTATATGCTGTATAAGAATTTAGCTAGATGACCTAAAAAAACAACAACCCCCTTAACATAAAACAAAAAAATTGATAATTGGTGAGGAAATTTACTGACCCATTTTTTTTAAGTTGCCAAAACTGGAAAAGTCTAACAATTCTTGGAATAACTATTGAATGACTACTCTGTTGTCTGATCAGACTTTTTCTCCCTTTGACAACTAGGTTTCTCGGTACTACAGACATGCTAAATTTTTCTTTTATATATATAAAATGAAGTTTCATTTAGTAGACCAAGAAACTGCAGGGCATTCTGGACATGCATATTTCTTTCAAGGTAGGAGAGCGAAAGATTTTGCTGGAGAAAAAGAACATCCAAGAACAAATCTATGGGATTTATTTATTTATTTATTGAGTATGCAGGGTTTCTAGATTTTCCCTCTGTTGCAGGCTCCACAGTATCGGTGCTGAGAGCGTTTACACAAGCTTTGCAAAGGGAAAGGGAACCCCAAGGGGTTTGGAAATTATTTGCTTTCTTCTTCCACTTTATTGAAATGATGTTGGGCTAATTGTTCACTCCCACAGAGCAGCTCTCTCATCGCCTCGAGTCCACTAGGTAAGCCTCTAGAGGTCATAGCATATAACTAGTTTTCCCAATGAGGGTTTGATTTGAGGAAATTGGAGCAGCTACAGTAAAGGGACTTTCTCATATGAGACCATTGTTCAAATGCAGTGTCAGTGAAATGAGATTTGTCCTTGTTTTTAGTGTGC